CCCGTCCCTGGAAACATTCAAGGCCAGGTTGGACGGGGCTCTGAGCAGCCTGATCTAGTTAGCAGTGTCCCTGCTCCTGCAGGGGGGTTGGACTAGATGACCTCTAGGGGTCCCTTCCAACCCAAAACATTCTATGATTCTATGATTCTATGATTAAGTACCATAATACATTTGAATGTAATATATATTTAATAGAGCCATTTATAATTCCTCTGGGAGACTCTGAACCTCAGTGACTTCATTTTTTCAACATACGATGAAGTGGTTTATCTCAGAAAAAAGAAGGAGGTTTAGTGCAGTGTAAAAGACAAAAGACATTATGAAAGAACAACTACTTTGGTCTCAGCTCAGCCGTAGGGACCTGGACACGGTTTCAAACTATGTGAGGGACTAAGGGACTCGCCGGGGCCATAGGCCGGGCACAAAGCAGAGAAGCTGCCACTAGCCAAGAGCCAGCTCACTGCCCTCTTCTCCAGAGCAAAGTAACTCTCAGCCACCAAAATCCCATGACTTTATGAACCTTCTTGGCTGTTGACATAATACAGAGGGAATTAAAAAGAGCATGTGGAAGAACAGACACCCAAGTTTCTCAGTTCTTAAACCTTTATATTCTCCAGCGCATTGCCTGAGGGAATATCAAGTTAGCAGAAGTGATAGCAAAAGAACTGATTGATAAAATTTTTGCAAAACTAACACATACTTACTGTGACTCATTGTTTAAGATGCCTTGACTGGTATGCATGATGTTTATTTATGTGCCTCCTCCCCCTTTCCTTTTCAAAAGCTTCTCCAGTATAAAACTTCTAGAGTCACACTGCCGGCGTCCTGAAAGGTCTAGCTACACTAGCTACACACCACCAGATACTCAGCTATTTTTCAAAACAGACAAAAGGATTAAAGAGTACAAGAACATACACCGTGTCCTGAACAAATCTGGCTGTCTGTGGTGCCTGGGCAGGTACTGAAGTTGAAGGCCTCAGCAGGGAGGCAGCGATGGTCAAGGCACACCATGTTGGGCCCACACGGTGTCCCGTTCTCCACATAGCCCAGGTCCGTCTCTTCATCGAGCTTCACGTGGCCGCCACTACAAGACAACCAAGAGGACCCTGGAGACTTGTGCTGTGATTAGATAGGACTGCTAGAGAAACTGGGTTCTGGGCTGCTGCCTTCACTTCTGGCTGCGTTATACCATGCCCAGAACCAGAAAAGAGTTAAGTATTGGCTTATTTATCTCACTGGCCCTAACGTGACAAACCATAATGCAGTGTATCTACATCAAACAAAAGTAACGGTGAAAACAAAGAGCATTTTTCCTGTGTAAGAGCTAGTGTTCGATGCAACTCAGTGTTTTGAGTTTACTTGTGTAGGACTTTGTTTCATCTTACAATTGTGTGAAGCCATGAGAACACACCAGGTCTATAATTGGGATTCAGCTAACATATGGCAATGTATTAAGCTGCCATTTAGCTTTGGCAGTGCAGGCACATGTCTAAGTATTTTGAGTACATTAAGTACTTCGCAAACATTAAAGAATGTAAAATCAACAGGCCAGAGAAGAGCATTATGTCTCTACAGGCAAAATTAACTACTACACAGAGGGGACTGCAAAACAGCTGCGCTCCCCACATGCAGTCAAGTTCCTGACGCTTAACAAAGGTTGAGCTAGAATAATGGTTATGTGTTAATAGGGAAAAAAAATATTAATGGAAACAGTTGTTCCCCACTTAGGAATGAGAGAGCTGCTTTTCCATGCAAGATGGATATTTATTGTCTCAGTTCTGTTTTCAGGATTTCCAATTACCTGCAATTGTACACTTTTCCAAACTGCAAGATTGACGATGTGATTTCACCATCAAGTTCTCCAAGTCTGGGCACACTGGATATATTGGAGCACAGAAGGTATCCACAAAGCACATCCCTACATTGAGAGAATAAACAGATACTCACTGAAAATAAAATTCAGTGAAAAAGGACAGTCAAAAAAAAGTGTTTTTCTTCACTTGCTTTGTAACATGTTTGTTATTCCTTGCTTTTCTCCCACCGACAGTAACTCCCATAAATAATGTCTTGCTTCCCAAGAAAATTATTCTCCTCAGAGCTTAGACTGGGAAAAGATTCTTCTTTAAGATGTATTATCAAAAATGCTCTGAATAATAGCAAGCAGGGAGCTGTCAAGAACAAACCACATCAAATTGATTTATTAACCTATTAAGATACAGTAACTGGCCCGTAGAGGAGAAGCAGTAGATACCGGCTTTAAACAAACTCTCATGGGACACGTATGTAAGGGAACTAGGGACACCAAGTTTAATTCAACTGTTGCAGGGACTTCACAACTCGTGCAGAAACTTGTGCGCTGCCTGGCCTCTCCCATATCACTGAATATTTTTTACTCATGAATTTGTAATGGAACAAAAGTAAGGTTATCAAATCTGCACAGAAAGGTGGCAAAGGACATTAGTTCACCTGTAGGCAGGACTAGAATTCAAATGGCCTTGACAGAATGGAGAGCTCATCTGAAAAACCAGGGTGCAGTTTGATGAGGACTGGTTCAGAAATAGGCAGAAATAATCAGTTGCATAAATACAGAATGTGAACCGATGGTTTAGGCAGCAACTTGCAGGAAAAGATGTGGAGGGTTACAGTACGATGAAAACTGAACACGACTTAGCAATGCAATGGCACAGCACAAAAGGTGACCACCACACTGAGACATGAAACCACAGGCTGCTCTCCTCTTCACTGCTAAGCCTAGGACTGGTACTAGGACCACTTTTGGTCCAAGTGCTCCCAAACCTCAGATGGTGCTCCCTTGACAGAGATCACTTCCTCTCAACACTCCTCTCCCTCCAGAATTTCCTGTACCAAGGACTGCAGAAAAAGGCCAGGAGAAGTCTGTTCTGTACAGAGGCTTTTTGAGCCTCTTCATGCCAGCTAAAGAACTGCATCAGGGATAAAAATCTCATACAAGTTGTTTTATAAATGGATCAACTTACTGTTTATTGCACTGTATCCAAGAGTCCTTGTCTCTTCCACAGTTTCCTTTCTCAGTCCCTTCAATATTCAACTTCTCATAGCAGTACCTGTCAGCAGCTGTCACTTCTAAAACCAGAAACAAATCTCTTCTGAGATGATGAGGACTTTGAAAAGCCAGGTCCTGGGAAATGGCCATGCACAATCAAAGCAAGCAGAGCTTCCCAATCTGTGAACTGCAATACCAATGGTCTGCAGGTGGCCTGGGAAACTCTGCACAGTGTTCTCAATGAAAAGGTTTATGTTGGCACCACAGGACTGTTTTAAGATTTTGTTCAGATTGACCAGGGTTTATTGGTCCAAAATGTCCAGAAGCCACTAAAATAAAACAGTAAATATGAGTATGGGCTTCCTAGGTGGTTATTAATGAGAAGATAAACCTAAGACTTCAGAATAACCATGAGTAAGTTAACCAACACTAGAGAAAGAGCTGGAAAGGAGGATGGAAAGACAAAATGAGGAGGGAAGAGGGAGAGGGACACACAGTCCCAGCTGGTTTTAATGGTTCTGAGTATGTCTCTTCCATATTTTTTTCTCGGCTAAGATAATCTTTCAAGCCACATGAATGACAACCAACTTAGAAACAATAACATTCACTCACTTTCACCCCAGATATATTTACACTGCCGGTCCCTGGTTTTACATCTTCCTCCAAAGCAAATACCCTAGAAAGAAAGGATACCAAAAAAAGTTTCAAATAACTTGATTGTCAAAAATACATATTTGTTTAATATACAGATTTGTCACATGCTTTCTGTTGAGTCAACTAATACATGATTCTGCTTTCTGTTCATTTAAATACTTGGCTCCAAAATATAACTAACACCCAAAACTTAGGAATGTCAGTAGAACTGTACCAGGTGACTTCCAAAGATTATAAACCAAAATCTATAAAAAGCAATCTATAAAAGCAGAAAGAATGTAATACAAATTGACATGCTAATTACCTGCTTGTTATCACATGAATATCCATCCATTTTATGAATATTGGGAGAACACTATAGAAAGAGAAAATAACTAATAGATCATAGATCAGACAAGCATGGAAGCAAAGCATACAACAAATGTCATATGCAAAATTATTTCAGTATCATGCTGGTTTTTTTCAGTATCAGCAGGTTTAATACAATTCTTACACACCTTACTATATAAAACAGTAACATTCACAGTGATTGAGAGACTACAGGTGGGTTTTTTCATCTCTTGGATAGAAGATATAAAAATCACCTGACTGGAATTTCCTGTGCAGTTCTCTGCAATATCACAATCATTCACTGCTTCTCGGCACAAAACTCCTTTAGGTTCAAACTGAAAAAAAAAAGGACAGAAAATTAGTGTCTTGATTTCTCCATATCTTGCCTTAAATGCAATGCTTTCTTAAGAATTTTAACTCAATAAAAAATGGTTAATTTTCATGTGCTGACTGAAGTGGGAAGACTTTCCTTTCCCTGGTGCAGACATTGCACCTGTCAAGCCACTGGCCATTTACTGGTGCAACTGGTACCACTCTGAGCCACCTCCTCCTGAGCACATCCAGTGTGGGGCCAAGCAGGGTAAGTGCTCTCCCAGGATACAGGACCCCTGGCATTTATCTAACCAGTACTGCAGTGGCTTGCAGCGTTATCTTGACCAGGTCATTGCGTCGTTCTGTGACTATTTCACTCTTCCTTCTAAAACAGGGAGAGTGGTCCTGATCCTCTTTCTAGGGATGAAAAACACGGAAAAGCTCTAGGTGTTAACACTATGATTATTACAATGCTCCACTGGAGGACACAAACTGTTAATAAATGTGCTGAACTCCAATCGGTTTGACACCATCTTCTAAGTGACCAAACATTTAACAACAAAAATGTATCAGTCACCTAACATGGGCATTTTGGTTCAAGACTTCTGTGCTAATTCTCAAGACCTGTAAAAGCAGGAAGACATCCCATTAATGGCAACTGTTAGTGCAGACCCCTGAAAGTTTCCTTAAGTCTGTGATACCCCATTCATTTTTCAGCTCTGTGACTTTTTTTCTGGATCTGCATGCACATACATTTTTTAGGGGACAACTGCTAACTCCACAGCTGGTGTGAACGGGCACACGTCAGTGGAAGAGTTAGACTCCGGTACTTTCTCAGCCTTCAGCTTATCCTTTCC